AAATGATGCTTTGTGCTAAGTCAACAGAATTTACTTAAGGATCAGACATGGGGATAAGAGAAAATGAGGAGTCAGGATTTTGGCCTATGTAACTGGAAGAATTGAGTTGCTGTTTATTAAGATGGCAGTGGTCTCTGTAGTCTAGTATCCATAGGCTTGGTGAATATGCTTGTGAACATAGGTTTTCTTTCTTTTAGATTATAACTTTAGGATTACTCTCCAGTCATTCTGTTAAAACATATTGACACATTTTGTTCCAAAGGTTTTACTAACTTACGTTGGTATAGAAAATAAATGATGATACCAGTTTCCCTAGCATCTTTCCAGCAATGGGTATTTTAATTAAAAACAAAAGATGCAAAAGAATATTTATGTACTAGCATAAAAGAGTACCGTTTTTATCTCCTTTTTTTTTTTTTTTTTTTTTTCCCGCATCCGCCGCATTGGCAGGCGGACTCTCAACCACTGTGCCACCAAGGAAGCCCATGACCATATTTAAATATCAAGTTTTCTATTATAATTTCCTGACACCCGGCCATGGCTCACGGGCCCAGCCGCTCCGCGGCACGCGGGATCCTCCCGGACCGGGGCACGAACCCATATCCCCTGCATCGGCAGGCGGACTCTCAACCACTGCGCCACCAGGGAGGCCCCGAAAGAGTACCGTTTTTATTTAAATTGTTGGTCACAGAGAATATTAAACCACATAAAAATAAATGTTTTTACTAAATTTGTCTCACTTTTTATTACTTGTCTGTTGATAGTCTCTATCATTATCTATTGAGATATTAATATTTATGTATACATCATTGTCAGCTTCAGGAAGCTAGAGAGCTATGTCTATAATCTAGAAATTTCACCCATTTTTCATTCAACAAGTATACTGCATTTTTTAATAACCCACTTTTTTTTTCATTTGTAAATATTTTGTTGCCTCAAAGTTTCCAAAATCATCATCTCTCCAATACTACAAGAAGCAATGTTACATACTAGCTGGGGATGTAAGGTTTAGAGCCAGATTTCCTGGACTCTAATTCTGCCATACACTAAATGTGATATCCTAGGTAACTGCCTAAATTTCCTCACGCTAATGGAGGCTGGTAACAATACCTTTAAAGGATTTAGTAAAATATTATGTGAAAAATGGCACCCTTCCCATTGCTCAAGCCAGAAACATTAGGATTATTGTTGAAGTCTCTCTTTCATACACCATGACCAATAGAATTCTGTTAGTTTTCCCTTAAAAATATATTCTCAATCTGATCATTTCTCAGTCTTGCTACCACCCTGATGCAAACCACATCCTCTCTCCCTGATTGTTGCAATAGCTCCTGACTAGTCTCTGCCTTTGCCGTTGGCCCCTTCAACCCATCTTCATCTCAGCAATCAGAGTAATTTTGTTAAAATCTAAGAGAGATGATGTCATCCTCTGCTCAAATTCATCCAGTGGCACTCTGTTTAACTCAGGATGAAAACAAAATCTTTCTAATGGCCCCAATCCTGATGTGCTCCCACTTCCTCCATTACCACTCTACAGAATATTCTGCCACCCTCACCCTTGCTCACTCCCCACTGCCACGCTGATCTCCTTGTCTGTGAACAGACAAGGAAAGCATTCTCCCACCTCAGGGCCTTTGCATTTGTTGTACCCTTTGCCTGTGATGATATTACCAATGGGCATTTTTGCTCCAATTTTACCTCAGGGAAGCCATTCTTAAAGAATTTTATTTAAAATTGCAAATTTCTGCCCCTCCCATCCTCCTTATCTCCCTGCCCTTCTTTATATTTCTTTATTGACGACATGACCTTCTAATATGTAAGTGGTATATTTGTTCTTTCCTTAATTTCATCACTGTCGACTTCATGAAGGTAAAGATTTTTGTTCATTGTGGTTCCTACTGTATCCTCAACCTGGAATAGTCTCTGGTACACTGCACGGCAGAACACAATATATTAATTTAATGAAAGAAGGATACCTGATACATTAAGTAATTATTAGCTATCCATGTTAAAAAACATTAGCTGTAAGTAATACTGTATATAAAGTTAGTGTGAGAAAAAAATCAAGTATTTTTAAAAAGAACACAACTTTAAGACCTTTCTATATTCAGGAATAATACATACTAAGTCACTAAGGATAGAGATTTCTAGTTTCTAAACTGAGGAACATTGTATGAACATTGTGAAAGATAGTGGTACCATTTACATTATGAGGACAGGAGTTTACAATCTTGATAGTAGTAAAAAAAAAAAAAGAAAGCTATTGTTATATAACAGAAGAATCCTTTTGTGTAATGTCAAGGAAAATGACAGTAAGAAAGATAAACATATCTACATTCCTAACAATAAAAAGGAATTTAAAATTATATCATTGAGGATCAAGATTTTCCAAAATAAGTACATTTTTTTCCTTCTTCCTTTAACTAACTCATCTACTAATGATCAAGCTGTACTGGACTCTGTAGTAAATTAAAAAACAAATAATTAAGAGAACATGGCCCTAGGAGAATTTTTTCTGAATTCAGAAAAATAAAAGGAGCCATTAAAAGAAAAAATGCAGGGAAGGAAAAGATGAAGAGAGAGGACAAGGGAGGAAGGGAGGGAAAAGAAAAGAGAAGAAGGGGAAAAAGGGGAAAAATATGATGCAGTTTGGAAGAGAAAAATGAGCAGTTCTAGTTGGGGCCTTGGGGCAAGAAGGAACAGAAGAAGATTTGAAAAGTTTTTGTGAAATTTGTGGCATTTGGCACATCTTTTAAAACTGAGCTTTCCTCCAGCAAGATGATGATGTAGGTATGTTCTTATTCCAGGAATGTCTGTGTTATAAGAATTAAAGACAAAGAAAAGAAAGAAAGTCAAACTAAATGAAATTTTAAAACCTCTGCATAAAAATTAAATTGTGAGTGGAATAAGATTTAAATGAGTGAAAAACTTCCTTAAATTTTATTTACTGTGTTCCATGGAAAATGAAATGCATTAATTAACATAAATGGAATTTTATCTTTTATAAACATTAAATTAGTAATCAAATAACTTTTAGAGTTTGAGGACTCTTTGAGGACTTCTTCAAAAATCTCTGGTTTACAGATGAAGAAATAGATTCTCAGGGAAAGGAAATTACTTGGTTGGAACATGGCAGATTTAGGATGAGAAATGGTGGTCTTGTGACCCACAGGCCAGTGCACTCTCCTCAATAGCATATGCCGTTTACCTATTGCTGTTTACACTTTTTACTTTCTCCATCTAGACCATTCTTCCTCCAATTTACCTGTGTGACTTACTGCCTCACCTCATCGGGTCTTTGCTCAAATGTTACTACAATCCTCTGTACTAAAATAACATCTGTTCTCTCCACCTTGTACACCTGCATCTTTCCTCCTTACTGTATTTTTCTCCAATGCACTGACCACAAAGCATACCTAATTTTTATGTATTTTTTTGTTGTTGCTTATTGGTTTTTCTTCTCTTACTTGAATCTTACATGAAGGCAGGATTCTGTTTCCTGCTATATGTCCTAAAAGAATATCTGGCATATCATAGGTGTTTAATAAATAATTGTTAAATAAATGAAATGTAATTTACCTAAATCTAGGGAAACATTATAGTATTGATATATTCACAAACATCAGCTTCAGAGTCAATCTGGATGTTTTTGATGCACCCCCTACTGGTTTAGTGATTTTGCCATGCTACTTAATTTCCATATGCCTTAGTTTATTTATTATTAAGGGTAGGTAAAAATCGTACACACTTCATAGAGTGGTTATAAGAATTAAAGGAAATTATATATGTAAAGTTTTTGGCTCTTAATATGTGCCCAGCAAATGTTAACCATCAGTCAGTGATAGCTATTATTAATAGCTGTAGGTATAACTCAAATGCCTAGAGCATTTTAACATAATTGGTAATTAAGTACATCCTAAGATGTACTGTGATCTGTTCATTCTTAGTTCATACCACTACTAATAATCTGATAGCAGATTTTAAGCATTACTAATAAAAGAAACTAATGCATGTAGTGTAAACAAAATTATTTTATTTTGTTACAATGCTAAGTCACACAAATGAACTCTTGAAAACACTATATATACTTGTCTGTGTCAAAATTCATTGTTGATAAGTATAAACACATTGAATAAAATAATTCCAAAACATTTTAATTTATTTGAAAAGACTAAATATTTAGGAATCTTTTTGAATTTGAAGAGATACGTGTATCATCTGGAACACAAATCCCAGCCACCATGGATATTTCCTATTTTATACTCTTTTACATTGATTATAGCTTGCTCATTATTCATATAAGTTCTTACATGTGATTTATGTTTGTGGTTTACCCTTTCTGATTATTCCAGTGGTAATTGCCATATTTCAATATTCTTCCTCCTTTTTTGATGTTGTGGTTTCATTTCAATCTCCTAATATTTTTTAAATCTTTCTTGTAAAGTTTGTTAGCTTTTCTTCTATGATTTCTCAGACTTCTTACTCTTCAAATTCACATTTATAAAACTGCAAATTTTTAAAAAATAAATGACCAAAGTCAATAGTTTTTTTAATTAAACAAATAAATGCTTAAAATTTGCTTTAAAAACAAATTCCTATTGAATTTGAATTCTATTCTATTGAATTCTTGCAAATATCTCTATCTTCAAGTTCAAAAGAAATGATGTGTCCAGTGGCGTTTGCATGACTCTAATTTTGTTTTCTAATGGTGTGTCCAATGGCGTTTGCATGACTCTAATTATTTAAGTACATTAAATAACAGAGATGCATTTAATTTTTTTGCAAGTTACTGGAGTGTTGACATTAATCCAATAACAGGCAAGATTCCGTGTTACTACCATTTTTTGCTTATTTATTAGATGCATGGGTCATATGAAAATTATACCTGGTTATACCTGGTTACCTTGGGAAAACATGAAAAAAGAGAGCTTAGTATATTTAAAGAGAGAGAAAAGGAAGAAGGATAAAAATGGATGTAATTTTCTCTTTCTCTTTTCTAGCCCTAGGAAAAGATAAGGATTACACGGATGAATCAGAACATGCTAATTATGACCGATCTCGCCTCATTAAAGACTTTGTCCCCCCAAATAATTCTGAACCCAAGCCCAGATTGCCTAAGGTAATGCAAACTAAACAATCAATAAGTCATTTGAAGACTCTTAACTTCTAACTCCATTCAGTTCTTTTCAATTTTAATCGATACTGTGCTGGAGAGAATAAGAGGTTACACAGGTTAATATATATCTTAAGGACTTAAAATTGAAAAGTTATGTGTAGACATCATATTCATTTATACTATCAAACAGAATTATACAAACATTCTGAAACATGAATTTATTCAGTAATATTTTCTTTAGAGGCTTATTCCTTCATGTTTCTTGTTTTTTGAAAGGCACCATGTTTTAATGAGAACATGGATTTTAGTAACAAGTGGACCAAGATTTGAATTACAGTTCCAGTACTTATAGTTGTGGTAACTTGGCAGGTTAATTAAACTCACTTAGCCTTGTTTTCATCATCTGTAGAATTAGAATCATGTTGTCTACTTGACAAAATTTTTTGTTTTTTCTTTCAGTTTTATGGAGATATAATTGACACAGCACTTTATAAGTTTAAGGTGTACAGTATAATTTTTTTACTTACATACATCATGATTACCAGAAAAAGTTCAGTGAACATCCATTGTCTCATATAGATGCAAAATCAAACAAAGAGAAATATATATATTTTTATCTTGTAATAAGAACTCTTAGAATTTACTCTCTTCACAGTTTTCATATACGGCATACAGCAGTGTTCGTCACAGTTATCATGTTTTATCCTTACATCCCTAGTACTTAATTATCTTATAACTGGAAGTTTTTACCTTATAACTGCCTTCATCCAATTCCCCCTCACCCACTCCCCACCTCTATTAACTATAAATCTGATCTCTTTTTCTATGAGATTCTTTGTTTGTTTTTAAAGTATGACTGACCTACAACACGATGTTGGTTTCTATTACAAAACAGTGATTTGGTATTTTTATACGTTTCAAAATGATCACCATGATAAGTCTAGTTATGATATGTCACCATATAAAGATATTACATACTTATTGACTATATTCCCCACACTGTATATTTCATACCCATGACTCATTTATTTTGCAACTGGAAGTTTGTACCTCTTAATCTCCCTCACTTATTTCTTTCCTCCCCTCATCCCCTTCCTGTCTGGCAACCACCTGTTTGTTCTATCTATAACTCTGTTTCTGTTTTATATTTGTTCATTTGTTTTGTTTTTTAGATTCCACATATAAGTAAAATCATACAGTATTTTTCTTTCTCTGTCTGACTTATTTCACTAAGCATAATACCCTCTAGGTCCATCCATGTTGTCACAAATGGCAAGATTTCATTCTTCTTATGGTTAAGTAGTATTCCATATAATATATATACCACATCTTCATTATCCATTCATCTATTGATGGGCACGTAGGTTGCTTCCACATCTTGGCAATTGTAAATAGGGTGCAATGAACATAGGGGTGCATATATCTTTTCTAATTAGTGTTTTTGTTTTCTTCAGGCAAATATCCAGGAGTGGTATTGCTGCATCATATGGCAGTTCGATTTTAAATTTTTTGAGGAGTCTCCATACTGTTTTTCCATAGTAGCTGCACCAGTTTACATTTCCAGTAAAAGTGCACAAGTGTCCCCTTTTCCCCACATTCTTGCCAACACTTGTTATTTGTTGTCTTTTTGCTAACAGCCATTCTGACATGTGTGAGGTGATATCTCATTGTCATTTTGATCTGCATTTCCCTGATAATTACTGATGCTGAGTATCTTTTCATGTACCTGTTGGCCATCTGTATGTCTTCTTTGGAAAAATGTCTATTCAAATCCTCTGCCCATTTTTTAATAGGATTTTTTTGTTTTTTTGATATGAGTTCTTTGTGTATTTTGGATATTAACCACTTATTGGAAATATTGTTTGCAAATGTCTTCTCTCATTCAGTAGGTGGCCTTTTTATTTTGTTGATAGTTTATTTTACTGTGCAAAAGCTTTTTAATATAATGTAGTCCCATTTGCTTATTTTTTATTTTGTTTCCCTTGCCTAATAGACATATTCAGAAAATATTGTTGAGACTGATGTCAAAGAGCATACTGCCTATATTTTGTCCTAGAAGTTTCATGGCTTCAGGTCTTACATTTAAGTCTTTAATTCATTTTAATTTATTTTTGTGCATGGTGTGAGAAAGCAGTCCAGTTTGATTTTTTTGCATGTAGTTGTCCAGTTTTCCCAACATCATTTATTGGAGAGACTGTCTTTTCCCATTGTATATTCTTGTATCCTTTGTCACAGAATCATTGCCCATACAAGTGTGGGTTAATTACTGGGCTGTCTATTCTGTTCCATTGATCTGTGTGTCTGTTTTTGTGCCAGTACCATACTGTTTTGATTATTTTAGTGAGTTGTTAGGATTAAAAATTTAAATGCCACAGGTTTTTAATTTGGTTTTTTTTTTTTTTTTTTTTTTGCGGTACACGGGCCGCTCACTGTTGTGGCCTGTCCCATTGCGGAGCGCAGGCTCAGCGGCCACGGCTCACGGGCGCAGCCGCTCCGTGGCACGTGGGATCCTCCCGGACCGGGGTGAAAACCCGTGTCCCCTGCATCAGCAGGCGGACTCTCAACCACTGCACCACCAGGGAAGCCCTATGGTCATTTTAACAATATTAATTCTTTCAATCCATGAGCATTGTATAACTTTCCATCTGTTTGTGTGGCCTTCAATTACTTTCATCAGTGTCAGTTTTACAAGTATAAGCCTTTTACACTGTTAGGTAGATTTATTCCTAGGTGTTTTATTCTTTTTGATGCAGTTGTAAATGTGATTTTTTTTTTTAATTTCTCTTTCTGGTAGTTTCTTGTTAGTGTATAGAAATGCAACATATTTCCATATATTAATTTTGTATCCTGCAACTTTTCAGAATTCATTGATGAGTTCTAGTAGTTTTTTGGGTGGTATTTTTAGGATTTTCTATGTACAGTATCATATCACCTGCAAATATTGGTAGTTTTACTTCTTCCTTTCCAATTTGGATTCTGTTTATTTATTTTTATTGTCTGATTGCTGCGGCTAGGACTTCCAATACTATGTTGAATAAAAGTGGTGAGAATGAGCAGCCTTGTCTTGTCCCTGATCTTAGAATCAATGCTTTCGGCTTTTCATTGTTGAGTATGATGTTAGCTGTAGGTTTGTCATATATATTGAAGTATGTTCCCTCTATACCCGTTTTGGTGGGAGGTTTTATTTTTTATTCTTATTCTTTTAGTAGATTTATTTATTTATTTATTTTTGGCTGCATTGGGTCTTCATTGCTGTGTGCGGGCTTTCTCTAGTTGCGGCAAGTGGGGCTACTCTTCGTTGTGGTGTGCAGGCTTCTCATTGCGGTGGCTTCTCTTGTTGTGGAGCACAGGCTCTAGGCGCATGGGCTTCAGTAGTTGTGACATGCGGGCTCAGTAGTTGTGGCTCCTGGACTCTAGAACACAGGCTCAGTACTTGTGGTGCGCGGGCTTAGTTGCTCTGCGGCATGTGGAATCTTCCCAGACCAGGGCTCGAACCCATGTTCCCTGCATTGGCAGGCGGCTTCTTAACCACTGCACCACCAGGAAATCCCTGGTAGGAGTTTTTATTTTAAATGGATGTTGAATTTTGTCGAAAGCTTTTGCTGAATCTATGGAGCTGATCATATGATTTTTATTTTTCAGTTTGTTAATGTGGTGTATCACATTGATTGGTTTACAGATATTGAACTATATGGAAGGTTTTTATAACAACTTGGAGGTTGAGAACACCTCATTGAAACTATAGTTCATCAGCAAATGAGTCACTGGGTTGGGGTTCGGTTTTAAAAATCCCTGGCTCCAGCAATCCCACCATTCCCAAAATTCTTTTGCAGATTCTTCAAAGCATCTGAATATGGTCATCCAGCACCAGATACCATCCCCTTTTGATACTTTTCAATAGAAATTCTGACTCAGTCCAAGCTCACTTTTTAAAAATTGCTTCTTATTGATTAAAGTGGGAATGACTTTGTAAAAGAAATTTGGATATTAAATGCAATTTAACCCAAGGAATGACTTAGCTTTTGGTTATCACTGCATGGACAATAGCCAATAATTACTTCCCTGAAAATATCTTTTTCTGTGATGTTTGATTTAGTTTGACCTGGATTAATTTTGCAAATCCCTTCATTAGTCACCATCAATGTGTTAGTGAAGAAATATGGCACAATTTAAACATTACTGTTATAATGATTCTGAACTGTAGTAAGTAGATACAGATATAAATGTTTGTGTGAGATTTATTCATTCCTCTTTTGTTTGGTTTTGTTAAAGGGGGTTTACAATTTTATGCTGGTAATACTTAGGTTATCTTCACAAATCAGGAGTTTCTCTCTGTTTACTTCATCTGCCTCCCTATGTCTCTCTGATTGGCATAGGAGAGCCTCTGCTATCTGTAAAGCATTGTTTCAAGAGACCTGAGCCTGAGACAAATTATAAGAAAAGTTGAGAAAAAGCAGATGTTGTTCCTTAAGGTCCTTATTGCACCAGTGAATGGGAAGACAAACATGATGTTTCACATAATTAGAAAATGAACTAAGATTAAGTAAAATTTGTGTTATCAGCTTCTCTAAAATTTAGCACAGGCCACCAATGATACCTGCCACTTCATTTCTGCTCAACAGTAGCCATTTCCCAAATCTTGCTTTGACTAGACTTGAACTTTAGAATAGTAAAGTTAAGAAGAAATAGTTAAACCTGCATGGATGTTTTGTTTTTGACAGAAAAATAAGAGAATAATGTGTGATGATGGTAACATGCCACAGCTGTTCAATCCAAGAAATCCTAGCCTAATGTCCTGTTAGTCTTACTGCACTTCTATTCAAATTCGAAAATGTAATGCATCATCTAGATGTTTTTGGGTTCACTCTTTTAGCGTCTATGTAAATATGTCCACTTTTATCCATTTCATAGGTCAGGGTGCAGCACAAATCCAATTTGCACAATGGTTCTAGTCCAAAAAAAAAAAAAAGATATTTAAAATCCATTTAACTAGGCTACTTGCT